TTTTTTTTTTTTTTTTAACTGAGACTTCTGTGTAATTATGTTACTGACAGAAAAATAATGTCTTGAATTTCTCAGGTAACTTTCAGAGACATTTTCTTTCATTTGGTTATTTTCATAGATATCATACTTTCAGATCACAGTTTTTCAGATAAATTTATACTGTATTAATTTCACATAATAGATTCTTATGTAGCTTAATATGTATTTTCAGTATGTACATACAAATTGATTTCATATATACTTGTGAAGACTGATGCCTTAGGATTTAGAATTATTTCATTAATTATCTAAACTGGTCAATTTTTAATAAAGACATCGAGAAGTTGTTTAAAGTATCTCCATTTTTTCTGAAGTTCTTTCGAAGTCTACAAGGCTGGACCTTTGAAGATGGTTTTTCAGTACACTTGACCTATGTAGCAACCATTGATCCGAAATGATAAACCACTGTCAGTTAATAAAATACATGTTACATGAAGATACTGGGTTGTCAGCAGTGTTTACTGCTGTCTCTGGGGAAGACTTAAGTGCCACATAACCGTACCCAATAGGCATCTGAACAGCCTCCTCATTCTTATGAATCAATGACTTCTTTAAGAAATACAAACTTTCACAAGTAAAGCACCTTTTGTGTTAAATAACAGCTTTTTTAATATGAAAAGGATATTAAATACACATTAGATGGTTCTTAGAAAATCCTTTATATAGGTCCTCTAATTTCTTTCAATATTTATGATCAACTTTTACATGAATCCTGTGTTTCAGTTTTTTAATTTGGTTTATGAGTATTGGTAAAAATAGAAATATAATAGTACAAATGCTTGTTTAGTAAAGAACTTGGCACGGACCAGAGAGATCTGGCCTCTGCGCTCACTCCTAGGAGGGGTCTTTGTGGAGTATGTAATTGGTCTGATCTAGCAATGCCAGGTGGGAGCTGGTTACACCAGAAAAACCAACCATGTAGCTTAGGCTGGGGCATGTGGGGCACAGCTGTCTACCTGGAGGCCAAGATCAGCCATTGGACATTCCATCCCTCAGTCCTGCCTACAAAGCAGAGCCCCACTAGAAACCTCAAAACTCAGACCCGAAGAGGTAACCAGGGTGGTGGTCTTCTGCCTATGGTCACATGGGGTTTCTGAGAGAGCGAGACATCCTCCTGGACTCGGCCACACGTGTCTTTTCCCTGGAAGATACTGACATATCCCCTCCCTGTTAAAACCATAACGACAAGCATGACAGTTTTAGAGATGTCTCTGAGTTCTTCTAATAGAGAATGAAGCCTCAGGCTGGTTTTGGGAGTCTCAAGGGCTTTAGGCTTTAAACTCATCCAGAGTTTAGCTAATTGTGGATGGTGTTATACACCATGTTAGAATTAGGAAAGGTGGCATCACTTTAAATTCTATCAAAAAAGGTAGATTTTGTTATTTTCACACTGACAAAATAATTCTAAGCCAGAGCAGTTATTTCCATATTGAAAAACTAAGCTTGAGAAAGCAATAAAATCAAATTAGATACTTAATTGTAGTTTTTTAATATCAAGCCAGAGAGTCTACCATTTACATACGAATTCAAAGTCTTCACACCAAACTTGCAAATAAAAGGTTTCAATCCCGATAATTTCAAAGGAATTTATACATATATATGAGTTTCTAGAATGGAAAGTAGACTTAAAGATTTAAAAAATGTTTTAATGAAAAACAGCCCAGATAGGTTACTGCTATCCTTATTTTATAAA